GATGTAAATTTTTGTAAAAACACATAGTTATTCACGTAAAACACGTATAAATCTTCGAAATAGATCGACACTTAAAACTTTGTCATATATTTCCAAAATTTTTTGGTACTTTTGTGTTCTGAAGGCCCATCTAAAAATTTTTTTGGATCCTACTGAAATATTTGACTATTATCGACCTTCAATGTATACGGTCATATTTTTAGTTTTTTAATGCAAAGAAAACTACAATCTGAAAGTAATTAACATCTGTTTTTACATATTTTATTGTAGATCAATCTTCTTGCTTGAATTATTATGGTTGAAAAATTATAATACATTATACTTCAATTCTTCTGAGTCAGTATTTATCTGAAGGTTTTTTAGTCAGTATTTATCTGAAGGTTTTTGAATTTGTAGTTGAAATTTCAATTTCAAACCGACCTTCATCTAATAGGAAAATAAATACACAATTTTCTTTTCCGTTGCCTAGTTTGCAGCACAGTTCATATGCCAGCTATTATGAAAAAATACGCCGATAAAGTGGAACCATATTCGACTAACTCCTGGATTATACTTATTTTATAAAAATTATTATAATCTATGTATAAACCTGGATAATGCCTGGTTTATATAATTTTGTTTCTTCTTTATAATAATGACTAATATAATTTCAATTGGGATTATAGATCGGTTACTTGGATTGAAAATTGAAGCTATCTAATCAAAGAAATTCCTACATTCATGTTACTGTATACTCAAACAGTATAAAAAATTAGATAAGCTTTTTTCGAACGCTAGCAATCACAATTTAGCAAGTAGAAATAAATTTAACTTCCATCAATTTTTGAAAGCTTTAGAGGTTATGTATTATGTTTAACGTTTGTTTTATTGATATCTAATAAATTATTGCCAGAAATACCGGAAATCTCTCTGTTTTAATGTTTTGAAAAGATTGTCATTTATTCCAATCAAATTTGCCTAATTATTCAATATAAAAATGGATAATTTAAATAAAAAGGCGAACGAAACTTTTATTAATGAAAACAATTATTTGTTCATAATTTATAAACGAAATTATGACCATTTCCAACAAAATTAATGTCAGTTCTGTGACTAACACTAGATAAGGGTGTGTCAAATGTAGAAAATATATTGAACTACTTACCACCTCGTTAACTCAACAAAATCAATATCTATGGATATGACAACAAGGTAAAATACTATACTAAGACACTTTAAAAGAGTTTCAGTTTATAATCACAGCATCCAACAGCGTTTTATCACTAATACCCGATTTTCATACCGGCAAAGAGTTATGATAAATTTGCCTCAATTCCAATTTTGAATCGACGAAATGAACTAATGTTATTGAAAGAAAATATTAGCTATTTTTGCCGGTGATCATTTCCGAAAAGTAGCTGAGAAATATATTCCAATATCCCGATTATCTCTTTAATGAACCTGCAGAAACGTTGAAATTAAACGACATAAATTAGATTTGACAAGTACAACACCGACAGATACAATATATTTCGGCAGTTATATTGCTGAAAGCGTTTATATACGAAGTGAAAGACGGAAACGTGCGAAAACGTACGAAGAGACTATGTTACCCGACAATCGTAGGCTTTCCACACTTTATTAATTTGGTGGGAATGGTTTCTATAGTAACGGATTATTATATTTTATCCTAACAATTTGATTTATTTTTTGATTATTTTTCGGAAAGGAAAGATTAGATAATTCTTTTAATCATTTTTATATTATTAAACGTATTTGATAATTTTAAATATATTAATTCATAGTTATTGACATTCATTTTGTCATTGCTATTCCAAAGACGAAATGAAATAAAGAAGCGTGAGGTACAAATATGTACTTTTTAATTTTCAAGTGACTATCATTGCTCAAAATTATTTCTCATTCTTATTATAAACGATTTCACAGTTTTATTATTCAGTGATATATCATATTTCTTTTTCTCGAGCAAATATTTTAAGTAGAGAATTATTACAGTGTTCTTTTCATTTATACCTAAATACTGATCATTCTTTCATCAATACGTCATATACATTTTCTGATAATTTATTTCCCGCCAAAAAAAAATTAAAGATAGTTTTTTCAGAAGGAAAACAGGCATCTGAAAACAATTTTAAAACTTTATTGATTACAATAACAGTGCCTTTATTCAACTTTCTTGCTCAATAAAAAGAAACAGGAGCTAAATACAAAAATTGTATTAAGTTTTTTTGCCAAAAGCAAGGGCAGCAAGCAATGATTTTGTACCAAAGATCTATCAAAAATTTTGTGATACATAAATTAATTATGTATATAGCATGATATTAGTTTTTGAAAACTGCCTTATTTTCATGATAAACATTAAATTTTTCACCATTCTAATTTGTGATTGATGACCAACTAAATAAACTCTGAAGCTCATCCACCATTTCAATTCACAAAACTTGGAAGTTGATCAATTAAACTTTTTCAACATATTAAATATACACCTTGAAAATAAACAGAAATACCAGAAGAATGTGAGCGAATCTCTAAACTATTTATGACTCGTTCCAGCTCAAGTTCCCTTTGATTACTTTCACTTCAAGATGAGACTATGAATAGGTTATTCTTTGGCAAAAATTTTGAATCTTGTGGTTTTTCCACTGAGATGACAAGCAAATTTGAGAAACCAAAGAAGTGTTTCTGTCGAAAAATCTAATTCGCTGTTACATGGAAAGAAGTAGGTATTAAACTCTCATCTAAGAAAATTCTCTTCTCCCTCCTTACCTATTTCCATCGAAATTGATGGTCATTTGCACTGGAATTATGAAATTTTAATCTAGCTATTATGGGAAACTATTTTATGGACGAACATAAAACTGATATTAAAAATTTCGATTTGATTAATAACTGAAAATGTTTTCATTAAGTGGCTAACTCTAAATGAAATAATAACAACTCACTCCGCACAACACTTGGAAAATGTTAAAAACGAAAATAGCATAATTTGAACACTTAAAACAGGACCGCAAAGTGGTTTTAGGTGGAAACCGGATACTGCGGGAAAACTTTGACGATGTCCTAAAAAAAAACTGATAATAATTAACTGCTTTCTAATATTGTATGGATTTAAATAACATTCTTAGTTATAAAACACAAGACTCAAAATTAATGTGAGAAACTTTACCGAAGGTCTTACGCCAGTTTTTTATAGTTTGGTTTTCGGGAAGAACAGCAAATTAGAAGTGGGTCTTCTAGGAGGGCGTCCGTTAATCAATAAAGATATTCATTTTTGAAAATTCATCTTTGAGAAAGACGATTCACATATCTAGTACATATGTCGAAACAAAAAAAGTGTCAAATAGATAGCTTATTTTCGCAATTTTCATATTTTTCTGGGACTTGTTTATCCCAAAATTCTTATGTGGATACAATTTTATATATTTGCAAATACGTATTTTCTTGCATAACAATTGTTTCCATTTGAAGTGATGACTTTGACAGATTTAACAATTTGGCAGTTACATTTGTCATCCTGCCGCTCAATTTCAAATCTTGATTTGAGAAACGGAGATAGCTATCTATGAAAATTCTTGTAATCTTGTTACACACTCATACAGCTAGATAAGAAATCAAACTAATCAAACCACATCTGTTTTAGGTACTTGTGAAACAGATGGCAATTTAAAATAGAAATGGTACTAAAATAGATTGTAACGGGTGATTTTTTAAGATTTAAGTTTTTCAGGTTAGCGGCACTGGTTGTTAGTGGCATCCAAACGTCATCTCGCAAAGTGGAAAGTTTTCAGTATACTCTGCCATTGCATCATGGAAGGACTTACAAACGAGCAACGATTGCAAATTGTTGAAATTCACTATCAAAATGCGTGCTCTGTGAAAAATGTGTATCGTTTGTTATGATCATATTATGGTCGTCATAATTCATCTGGTGAATTAATAATTCGTGCTGTTATCACCAAATTTCGCACTAAGTTTACTTTGTTGGACATTAAACCATTGTCTCGCATGCGTGCAGTGCGTACTGAAGAGAATATTGCAACCGTAGCGTAGAGTGTTAATGAGGATCGTGAAATGTCAATTCGTCGCCGTTCTCAGCAATTGGGCATGTGTTACTCAACCACATGGAAAATATTAGGAAAATCCGCTGTTGTATCGAAAAATGGTGTTCATCAATGAGGTTCATTTCTGGCTTAAGGGATATGTAAATAAAGAAAACTGTCGCATCTGGAGCGATGAACAGCAACATGCCAAGATATTACAAATACAAGAATTACTAATGCATCCCGAAAAAACGACAGTTTGGTGTGGTTTATGGACTGGTGGCTTTGTGGGTCCATTTTTCCTCAAAGACGACCGTGGAAGAAACGTTACCGTCAACGGCAAACGATATCGAGCCATGATACGCAACTTTTTTTGCCCCAGTTGAACTTGGTTCACATGTGGTTTCATCAAGATGGTGCCACATGCCACGCATCTCGTGAAACAATGAACATGTTGAAGGATGAATTTGGTGAGCAGCTTATCTCTCGAAATGACCCTATGAATTGGCCGCCAGGATCATGCGATTTGACGACTCTGGACTATTTCTTGTGGGATTATGTGAAGTCGTTAGTGTATGTGGACAAGCCGAACACGATTGAAGCCTTGCAGAATAACATAACACGCGTAATTTCCCCCCTCTAGCAAAAGCATCTGAAGAAGTCGTTTGTAACGACGAAACGCGTCATGCTGTGTAGTTAATAAAGTGTAAATCATGAATTCAAGTGTTTGAATTTAAGTTTATGCTCAATATTTCACGTTGCTCTTTTTTAAGAAGGGGTACAACTTTTTACTTCATAATTAACAGGTGTCTTGATTACTTAGAATTTTTTTTTAATTCAAGGGACCTACAGTTTAACGCCAGTTCCGAACGGCCTTGTAACGGACTTGTAATCAATGTACATTACCCAGGATATATAATTATTTAAACTACTTGAATAATAAACAAACAAAAGCACCCATGCCTCAACCGGGGCTCGAACCCGAGTACTACTACACCATAGTCGGGTGTTCTACCGACTAAGCCACGCAGATCGACATTTAATATCAACGAGATGTTCTTCTTTTGGAAATGAAAATGAAAAACTCATTTCAAAAAATAAATTACGACAAACTCATGTATTTTAATAATTTCACTGCTCATTGACTTATCTGGTTAGTGATATTGTGAAACAAATTATTGTAATGAATAACACAAATCAAGGTATGGAACTGACGATGTTATGACGAGCCTAGAAAACCATGAAATATACTAGTTATTAATGAATTTTGAGAGAAATTTCAAATTCCTAAATGAGAACAAATGTGGAAACCTTAAAAAATATTTCAAGGCAGATAATCTCTGTCTTTATTACAGGTGGAACTGTATCTAACCTTAGTTCCTGCGTTAAATTATTTTCAATTATCAGTGGGAAATAACTATCTGTTCCATTGATTAGAGAATTCCGATTACACATTCAATAAAATTGGTCATGGCAATGTTTTCTATTATGAATTACTACACGAAATTTTATGGTATGTTCCTCAATAATTCATTATGTGGACTATAATTATTGTATTAGAGACAGAATTTTGTGAGATTGTAAGAGAATGTAAGACGATTATCTATTGAATTGTTTTTTCTAAGACGATTATCTATTAAATTGTTTTTTCTGGAAATATATATATATATATATATATATATATATATATATATATATATATATATATATATGAAAAGTACAAATGAAAAAAAAACACAATTATCGGTATAGCCCGCAACTTATTTATATCTATATATCATAAAAAAAATACTAGTATGTAATTCAAAATTAACAATACGAAATATGTGGTTTTTTGTATAGCTTCAGCTAAATGAATATATTATATATATATATATATATATATATATATATATATATATATATATATATATATATATATATATATAAATACAGTGATCACATTCATTAACTTCAAGAAAGCATATGATTCGGTAAACCGCGAAACCCTTTTTGAAATCATGAAAGAATTTGGAATCGATCGAAAGACCCGAAAAATTATAGAACAGACACTTACAGGTACAACTTCCAAGGTAAAATTTATGGGCGAAGTCCATAAATTTTACATTTTTCCATAAATCCGAATCAAATTCCTGCGAAATCAAAACCGGTGTGCAGCAGGGGGACGGACTTTCGCCAATCCTTTTCAATATTGTTTTAGAAAAGATCATTAGGGAATGGGAACTTCACGTAAAGGACATACAAGTGGGTATTAAAAAAGAAAATAGAATAAATGTCAAATGTCTCGCCTTTGCAGACGATATTGCTATCATCACAGACAACAGAACTGAAGCCATTCTCCCGTAGAAAAACTACATGAAATTGCGCAGGGAACCGGGTTACAAATTTCTTATGATAAAACCAAATAGATGGAAAGAAAACCAAAAAATAAATTCTCTCTTATCACAAAACATGGTGAAATTCTGCAAGTCGGCCATTTTAAATATCTCGGTGAAGTTATACAGTCCTCAGGTTTAAACCGAATCGCTAATGAACAGAGAATTACCAAGCTCCAAAGGGCCTGCAAACTAACATGGGCTCACTATAACAAAAAGAGCATTTCGAGAGGCGCCAAATTGAGGCATTATAAAACAACGATTCTGCCAGAAGCAATCTACGCATCTGAAAAATTATTGGCGGTCATTCAAGAATGAGAGAAATAGAAAAACAAGAACGAAAAATTCTCAGAAAGATTTACGGGCCAATCAATTGAAACGGCATTTGGATGAAAAGAGCTCAGAGTGAACCGTATCAAAAGACAAATACGATAACGGAAGAAATCAGAAAACGACGAGCAAAGTTCTATGCACATGTCTACAGAATACCGAAGATACTACTCGATAGAATTATAAATAGTAAATGTGGAACAGTGTGACTGAAAGAGGTCCAAAAGGATCAACAACAGATCAATATAAAAAATCTCAAAGATCGCACTGAATGTCGCTATAAAATCGCACATGTGAAGTTTGAGCAAAAGTCATATCGTCAACCTGGAGTTAAATGGGGAACAATCGTAATAATAATAATAATATATATATAATGTTTATTTAAAATTCTTGTAATACAATTATATTAGGTGAAACAATAGTATTCTAATTTTAAAATTCATCTGTTGTTGCCTAAACGAAGATGATACATTTTCTCACAAAGACCGTAGCCGTGGTGAGTACGAAGAATGTCTATTTATATTCTACAATATTTAATACCTACATACATACATATCAAGTTATCTATTTTAATAATTTGAGAAAAACTTATCAATATGAAAATTTGATAACAATATTGGGGAGGAGCGTATTTCAATATTATAAAAATGTCGTAACACTATCATATATTGTTTTACAACCATTTTAGCTTTTAAATGGTCGCCAGTTGATCATATCTCTGTCCTTTGTTTTCACCCAGTTCTTGTGGAAGACTTGAATTTTTAATGTTAACCATAGTTTTTAATTGAAATGGCAATTCATTATAAACTCTTGATGCCAAATAGTGGCAGCTACGAAGACATATGGATTTACTGTATTGCGGAATTGATACAGAGTTCCTGCTATATCTGGTATTCACGCTATGTTCAATGAAGTAACAACAGTCTATTTTTTTTCTTGAAGAGTAGCAGCGATTGAACAAACAGCTGGCGTATATCCAGTATGTTAGCTTCTTTGTACAGAAAGTCAGTATACCTTATATCTTTTTTAGGAAGGATTTTCAGCAGCCATTTTTGTTGAATTTCAAGCTTTATTACTCTATCATAGGCACCACTCTACGCAACAATACCATATCGTATCAGAGACTCCGCTAGAGCTTTGTAAATTATTGTTAGATGTTTTACGTCTAGAATAATTGACAGTTCTCTAAATTTGGATATTAATCCTCTAAGCTTAACATTTAAGCTCCTGACGTGGGAATAGCATTTAAGGTGCGAATCCAGTATAATTCCTAAGTATTTACATTCGTATGTGCAAGGAATGTATTTTCTGCTATTTTAATTATCGTGGTTTATTGGGTGGAAGTAGGCGCTTATCTACAGCAACTATTTTCAATGTAAAAAGCTGTTATTACTTTGTAAAAACTTGTATATTCGTGATATATTTTTTAAATTTGTAATGTACAACGGAACGTCAACAAAAATAAAGCTTTTTACAATGAAAATAGCGTGTTATTGCTAAAAATATTATAAATATAACTATCTCAATCAAGCAATAAAACCAATTTTGAAAAAAGTATAATACACACACACACACACACACACACACACATATATATATATATATATATATATATATATATATATATATATATATATATATATATATATATATATATATATATATATATATATATATATATATATATATATATATATATATATATATATATATATATATATATATATATATATATATATATATATATATATATATATATATATATATATATATATATATATATATATATACATATTTCAGAATAATAAAACCATATGTCCACATGAACACATTAAATAAAGTTCGTACTTTACATTACCCATATTCAATTATCGTATGCCCCAATAACTTCTTTATGAGATTGGAAAAACCTGAATTGAAGCTACAACTAGGATATCTACTTCTTATTAGCACTGTTAATTAGTAAGAACATTTCATAGATTAATGACATTCAGGAAATTTCGTGAGATACCCCATTATAAAACAAATATAAAATAAAATGAATAATTCATCAACCAAATTTTAGAATTTACTGATGAACTTCGATAGCATCGAAAAGCTTTTCGAGGTAACGAACTTAAACGTTTATAATTTTTCCTACGAGTATGGCAAGTGTTGAAATCTCACAAAACCTCCATAGCTCAAGAGCAACATGTGATATAGGAGTTCGATCATCATGTATATTTAACAGCATTGAAATTATGCTACAAACCTGTAAATCGTTATTTGTAAACCGGAAAATTCACCTCGTTATTTGGAAATTCTCCTCATTTTCCAATTTTTTGATAAAATAAATTTGCATACATTATGGAAAAAATGCGAGAATTATTGATGATATAATTAGGTCGAAATTCGGAATTTCCATGAGAATAGAAAAATAAATCCGGTATATGTATAAATAAAAACTTAAAATATTCATTACAGAAATTTAATTCATTAAATATTGTAGCAAAATCTTTGATTGCAACAAGAACACTTATGAATGAAAAAATTGATTAACTAGTTCAATTAATTAAATAATTAGTTCAAGTACCTAAGTTTTCTCTATTAGAAGTATGAAAAACAAGACGCTGTGGAATATAAAAAATATTATCCATATCTCATATATAACATAACTGTAATTTCATTCCTTTACTCTCGTAAATTTCGTACAATTTGTTTGGTAATATTTTTCAATATGGCATCACTAAAATTTTATTCAAATGACACAAAAAAATTATTAGAATCCCTTCTTAAGATATGTTAAGTGAAGGTTTTTTCAAACTAAGCAAGGGATGAGTAAATTACATATTTTTTCGATAAACTAAATTGGAAAATACGTTGAATTATTTTAGATTTGGATAATTTTTGGGATTTTGCGTTTGATGAATAAGAGTACTTTTTGAAGTTTTCCATTAAATCCGGTTTTTTCAGGCAGTTGAAGTTCTTCTAATTAACTACTTCTTCAACAACAATAACAGGTATTGACACAAAGATTTTCATACTATATTCATAAAAATATATCAGTGATTATCCATTGCTCCCGGAAATGTATAATGTAGACATTGGAATAAACATTTCTACTGAAATACAAAAAAAGCAATCAAATCATGAATTAATTAAGTTCTAATTATTCCTACACTCCTCTTATTCATAAATTTTTTTTATTTTTCATGAATGGTATGTTATTCGAATTATGTTGCCATCAGAAAGTGTGGCAATTTTCACAGGATTTTCTGTAGAAATTATAGGAGACGGAAATTTGGGGAATAATTTCAGTTTTAGAACGTATTAAATAAATGTACT